AGAACATATCTATTGTTGTATCCCTTCCTTTAACGGGTTTTTCTCTCTGTCTTTTCAACCCCCCCCCCCTACCATCGTCACCATCTTAGTCTTATTCCCCCCCCCTTTTTTCTTCTTTCTTTTTCTTTCTTTGTTTGCTTGCTCATCTTCCTTCCACTTTTTTTTTTCAAAACATAAAAAAGAAAAACATTTGTTTTTCTAGTATGGGTTTTCACCAATGTATAATCTATGTGTTGTAAGTCCTAAACATAATGAACATCCTTTGGATGTCTATAGAGCAATCAATAAAGATACCTCTTACATTGATTCCTGATGATGATCATTAGAGACATCAAGATTGGAAACTATATGGTCATGGAATGAGTGGAAGGGTTGGTCATCTTCATTCAGGGAAGGACTTATGCCTCAATTCCCCCTCCTCTAGTCTTGGGGATCCTGAGAGGCCTTTCCACACTTTTTGGCGGTGAGAGACTTTGCCACCGTGTCAAATAATGACCCGTCGAGCCAAATGCTCTGCGGATGGGTCAGATTAAAGCTCTGCTTCTGCCCTTTTGGGCTACATACTTACTAGCTCATCTGTGTCAATATTCAAGATACTATAAGCAATGAAAAGTTATGGATTCTTGGGTGACAGCAGGAAGTACAATATCAAAATGTTTGGGAGATTGGAGAATACAGGGACATGAATTGCATAATCAGCTGGGTTTTCCTCAGCTTATGATTGCTTTCAACTTCATGGATAGAGCCCATCTGTGGGGGGATATGGATGATGAAGCCCTCCTGGAGTGTGCAACAGGCATCAAGTCAAATCCAACAGCTCCCTATTCAACTTTTCAGTCATTTCATTTCTGGCAAAAACATGGGGTTTTTTTGGTGCCTCAGATCTCCCAGGATCCACACCAAACTTGGGGCTTGAGGGACAAGCCTCTCTGTGAGACAGAGGCCCCACAGGGCTGCCCTCTGGGCTCTCACTCAGAGGGTTGTGTTAGGCTTGCTCCCAACCCCCCTGGGGTTTTTTAGCGGATTGACTCGCAAAAACCCCAGAGGGTTTTATTTTTTTTTATTAGGGAAATGGCATCCAAACCTTTTCAAGGTTTGGGAGGTCCAACTCCCAATATTGGGGTTGGACCATCCGCAGACAGTCCTCCCAATGTCCCAGAAATTTGGCAGTTGGAACTCCAATTTCTGGGAGTTGTTTAACTAAGACCCTTCTTAATATTCAATCATGGTGTGTGTGATTTGGTACTTGAAAAAATGCTCCAACAAAAGAGGTAGAAAGTTTGGTCATTGTGTGTGCTGATTTAAGGAAACAGAAATGATAGCCATCCTTTTTGGAATCAAGATTAGAGAACACCTCTGATGAAACTCTAGTCATCTGGGCAGGATACCATCCATTTTGAGGTCATCATTTTGTCGGGGGACTCCAAAAAAATCAATATTACTGCTTATATAATGCACAGAGAAAAAAAGGGAATTTAGGCGCAGTAATGTCAGTGAGGCTTGCAAGGTAGAAATCCCAGATGCAACCCTAGGACCTAGGTGTGTTATGTTTGTGACTCCACTACTTGGGTTAATTCTGTAGGTTGGAAATCTAACAAAGTTTATGCAACTTATCTGTTGGCTCTTGTTCAATTGGCTTGATGAGCAGAGGTTTTAGAAACATAAAAAGTACCATGAAAAGAAACCTGTCTATTAAAAAAAGAACAACTTTTCAATTTAGATTAAAAATGAAAATTATTGGCATATTCAGGTTTTATGATCAACCTGAACTCTTTAATCTTGATATGCCGCCTTGGTTTTGAAGCCTTTAGCAACAACTTCATCAACATAATCATCACTCATTAACAACTTCAGACCCTGATACATATCACTCGGAAGCTTCATCTTGAACTATCATCTATCACAATAAATATAAGCTTGTTGTTCTGATAGCATAGAAGGGCAGAGCTTGCAACTCCACCATCCCCTTCCCCATTCAGCAGAAAGGGTTTCATGACCACTTTTGAGTCTTACACCAAGAGAACCCCCTTTCACTCAGTGAGGTATAGCTACCTCACTGACCAGGAGGGATTACCTTCAGTCAGGTGTGAGTGACTCCCCCCCCCCCTTTGTGCGAGGGGTGGTTTGGGGAGCCAACTCCTAAAAAATCAAAATTAAAAATATTGAAAATATTAAAAGAACAGATAGGTGGACAGGTGGACAACTCCCCAAACCAGCCCTCCAATTGGACATTAACTCTCAACAGATGTCTGTGAATAGTTTTTGGGATTCATTCACTAATATTTGGGAGTTGTTTTTCTGAAACCCTTTATTTTTTCAACAAGGGTAAAGATTAATTTTGTAGAAGTGACAAATATACATATTCTCCATCCAGGTTTCACACTTGACTAATTCCCTCCAATTGGATGGGGACCACTGTCCTGCAGGGATCCTCCAAAGGAGGGACTTATGTGTCAATTCCTTGGGTGGCATTCAACTTGGATTTTTGGTGCCTGCTTCATCCTGCATCACACATTTTATCTGAAATTGGCAATGTTACAATCATCATTATCAATTAAGGTGATGTGTTTACAATTACCATAGATGGGGACAGCTTGAAACATCTCTAAAGTGAAAACTAGAGGAAAAAATAATCAACCAAATTTTTGTTGATTATGAAAAACTCCCAGCAATAAATACTAATGCTCTCAGGCCGCAGGGTTGAATTTAGACGTCATTCCCTCCCTCCATTAGGTGCAATGCAACAAATGGTTTACCACTCCAACAAAGGGGGCAGGGAGTTAAGTTAGGGTTAACACAGCATATCACCAACACTTAATTTGGTCAAACAATAAAAGAATACATACAATTACAAGTTATCATGATGTTGAAATTCTCAAGCTGTTTGAATGTAGGCATTTTGAATCTTTGTTCAATTTACTGACATCTTTTTGACAAGAAAATATAAGCAAAAGGCCATCCTGTCGAGATGAGCCAACTTTCTGCACCAGAGTGGAGCCCAATGTCGCCTTGAAGTTTGCAACACAATCAATCATTGGAGGATGCCCCACCGCCATCACCAAAGGAGTTGTCGCCAGCCCGTTCAACCCTATGACTGCCTGTCCAATCACCACCATCCGTGCTGTCACCACCCGCCCTACCGCCTTCATCAAACCAACTGATGCCGCTAAACCAACCCCCACAGGCAGAACTGTTGCCGTCATTGGAGCCGTCACCGGGGGTGTGAGGTGTTGCCATCTCGTGCCCACTTGTGTGATTATCGTTGTTTCTTTCGGCATCAGAGGGGCTGTCGGAATCGGATGGGCTTTCTCTTTCCCGCTCGTCGTGATCATTCTTTTTAGCCTGTGGTGGGCAAGAGCCGGGCCGACCATTACATCAGATACCCGTTGGGAACAAGGTAGTTTTTTCAGTCTAGATTCATTGGTATGATTGAAGAAACCCGCCAAGCAGCGTGTCGCGATGAAATGATAAATGATGCATGGACTGACACCGACGTTGGCCTCTTTGTCCATTGCAGGGCCGTTTGAGGCTGAGGACCGTCTAGAACGCTTCCAGATTGAAAATATCATGGCAATGCCAAACAGGCTCACGAAAACGCCAATAAGCCCACGTGCGTAATCTGGTAGGCCCGTCGGTTGATCATGACAATTCGGATCTTGGGAACATACTAAAAGTTCGCATATTTATGTAGTGGTTATATAACCAGATTGAGCAAATTTCAAACAGTTGATCAACACTTGAGACTAATAACTCACGGAACGGGTATTCGCTGTATGGGAATGAAGATGACATGATTGTCTGACTGGTATTCAAGATGATCTTGGGGGCAATTTTAATTGTATGAACTGCAAGGTGCCCTCTGGTCTATTGACTCCTCAGTCAGAAGATGGCGAAGTTGTTTTATTTGGCGCTTTTCCAACTACAATTTGGACATGTGACCCATTGCAGGATGGTCATTAGTGGTCACCGCTAGATTGGTGCTTGCATGAATCTCCAGGAGATTTTGCCCAACTTTGGGAATTGTTGGAAGCTATGTCACTGAGGAGGTCCGAAAAACGTTGGCATTATTGATCATCAGCTCAGTTGGAACATCACGTTGTAACTTGTGTTGAATTTCTCCAAAACGTTTGACTGGATGGTCGGTCCCATGCTGATGGTCTCCCCTGCTGATTGGTGCCAGAGTTCTTGGGTATATCACCTATAAAAATCTTAAAAAAAGGATAGCCGGAAGCATCTTGGAATTACATGAGGAAAAAAGAGCGGTCCAAACACTTTCTAAAATTGCTGAGTGAGAGCAAAGCAGGGGGTATGATGTCCCTTTGTTCCCTCTGCTGACAGAGAAGGAAGTGTTGATACTGAGATTCCCCGAGTCCCGACTGAGCCTTCCCCCGATCTCGGTCGGGGGTGCATTCGCTCAGTGCTGCCCGAGTCCTTTGTTTTGCCAATCATTCTTCTTCAACAACAACAACCACAACAATCTCCGTAGATCGATGGTAGTCGATGGATAATGCATATCCCAAGAATCAAGTTCACCTATGGCAATCGAAAGTCAAGACTGAAAACACTCACACAAGAATATGATAGCAGCGATGATGATCAGGACATTCAGGTCGGACCTAGTAGCAGCAAACTACTCGATCGATTGACTGCCAATACTACCACTCAGCAACAGGCCAAGAAGAATCAAACATCCAAAAAAGAGATTCCTAGCAACATCCATCATTCCAAGAAACGTAAGAAAACTGACCAGGAGCCCCAGAACACCATCACTGCCACTAATCGACGCGTCTCAGATCGATTGAAATCAAATCCTTCAAACCAAGAAACCACCACCAGTCAACCTCAAGTGGATCCTAATCGAGAAACTACACCTCTGGATCAGGATCTACTTCTGATCCTACAAGTTCAAAAGCCTCAAACTTCAAGTGCTAGGCCTAGTCGAGCTCGATCGGTCAATCAGTCTCCTCAAAGTATCAAAAAACCACACCTTCAGCCCACTCAGTGCTCATCAGTAAGACCCCTCTCGAGCTATCAAAATCTTAAGATCTGATAGTTAGCTCTCACTTATTAATCTCGTCTGGTTTTCATCTTACAGCCTCAACGAGTAGTCAATAAGAGACCGAGGACAGAATCTAAAACTGAACAAGACAGGAAGGCCCTACCAGGTCCAGAACTTCCTCAACGCAGGATCACTCGCTCACTGTCTCAGAGATCTCTCGTCCCATCCGAACCAACTTCTCGGCCTATCCGCACTGAGCTCAATTATCCGTTCCCCGATCAGAGAGATGAACACTTCTCCTCGCCTACAAACTCACCCCATCACCAGTCACCTCAGCCTCCCGGATCTGACACGCCTGACCATTCTGATATTTTCGCCATCCTCGAATCTATCAAGGCCTGCAACGACTCTGAAGGGGCCGAGTTGAATGGATCTCCCAAAAAGGCTCGGGTAGCACTGATGGGTGGTAAAACTATTTCCCGATCTGGCGCTCTTTCACCCTCACTTTCGTCTGGTTGTTCTCGACCAACGAGTCCGATCGCTCGGCCAGCTAATCGATTACTGAAGCGCGTTCTCAGCACTAGCTCTTGTTCTGATTTATTTGGCTCATCCAATCGAACTTCCAACCTCCCCCCAAGGAAACCACTTGCACGACAACTATCCTCAGATTTCCCACCGATACCCGTCAATCATGAAGTGATCAACACTAGTAACCTAGTCAACATATTCCCGGGTGGTAAAGCGCTGAAAAAAACTTACGGTGGTGAAAGGACATTCAAGCAAGACGAGAACGAGTTAAAGTTGTTAATGCCAATATCTACGCCGGCTCCACCTCGGACATCGAAAAGGTTATCTGGGCCGACCGCGGGTTCGTCTCGATTGACGGGCTCTCTCAAGAGGTTCCAAAGTCGGGAGACATATAGTGAGCTGCGCAAGAAGTGGGGCGTCGATGAAGACGATGAACCTATCGAAGATGAAACTGAGCTGCAGACGACCATCCATCAACGTGCCAGTGGCTCTTCCAAACGATTCACGGATGAGCTGTTCTACTTGATCGAAGGCCTGGTCTCCACAGCTGACCAACCGGACCTCAGCCTCAAACGCTCCAGTGCAGTGGAGTTGATCAAAAAACTTAAAGAACAACAATTTATGAATGAGCTACGCTCGAATGGATTGATCGAGCATTTCTATAACTCATTCAGGTCTGCAGGGGCAGGAGACGGCGATCCGATCCTCGATCATGCCCTGCTCATCTTCATCTCACTCCTCAGTTGTCAAGACCAAAAATTTATCGAACCCGTCCTGAGAATCATCCCCAAAGGTTCTACCGGACTCTTCTCGATGCAATCCGACTGTTTGCAGGTGTTGGGAACTGTGGCATGTCGCAATTACCCCCAACCGACTCTGAAACCTCGCGGAACTTCGCGAAGACATCCTCCATTGGTTAGCACAACTTTCTTTTTCTCTTTGAGATTCTCTTCTCATCTTCCTGGAGGGTTCAAAATTTCTCGATCATCTTTGGCTGAGTTTTTCTTGCTGTTCGTAAAACTATTGCACAGGTTACTCAAATCCAGGAAGTCATCCAAGAATCCATTTTGAGGAAACATCTTCCTGGAGCGGTTAGTCTTCCACCTTTGTATTGATGATCCACAACCCTTTCCCATAAAAATTTCTTACCCACATTAATATTCTAATTTGCAGAGCAGTCCTGGATTATTGGCGCTGTTCAGTCTAGCCCGTATCGCCATGTTTGTCCCCCGCCCTGGCCTCCTTCCTCAACGATCTATCGTCCATTGCTCTGCTTTCGCCTCTGCTATCGACTGCTTGAAAGTTTATAGCCAAAAACTTCATGATTTATTCGATAATTCTGTTTCATTTCCAGTAAGTCTTTTGTTTTCTCTTGGGTTTACTTTTATGTTTCTAGAGCCAATGAATCACAACATATAGCCAAGGGGAAATAACAAATGTTTTTGCTATGTATTTTCCGTTTCGAAAAACGTTAGGATTTTTCAACTGGAGATGGACACGATATTTTGAAGCATGTAGGGTTCTGCATGGATGTTATCGAAGCATGTACGGTTTGTGAAGAGGACGCGTTAAATTCAATTAACTTGTTTCGAGACCCGTTGGCAAGTGTGTTTGGATCACTTATCTCACTCTGTCATAGCTTAGCTAGACATGACCAAACAAAAATATCGATGACTGGTGAGCCGATTTCATGTCAACCGTCCTCATTTTAGGAATAATGTGTTGATCTTTTTCATTTATGGGGGTGGGCACATTCTACAGCATTGGATATTCTGATCGGTTGTTTAAGGACGATGGTCAATGTGACGAACTACAATTCAATATGGGCCTCCGAGCTGAGTACGCCATCGGTTCTACACGCCTTATGTGGCCTGTTTGGGATCTGTCGGGAGGGGTATGACCACCACCAATCAACTCAAAAAGCAATTAAACGAGCAGAAGATCGAATCGATCCTCCGTCTGTCTCGCCATCGCTCATCAACCATCCCCAGGGACCTCATGCCCATGATAACCGCGTCGATGATGTTGTCTTCGATCTTTTGTGTGTCAGCTTGGGATTGTTGGCCAACTTGCTCGAACAATCAACCCAAGCCACTGATATGTTGAGAGAAACTCGTTAGTTTTTTTCTTCTTTTTATATACTTTTCATTGTACAAAACTTCAGCTTAATTGAGGCTTGTTTTTGTGGGGAAAGGGATCCAACAACCAGATCGTCGTTCATCGATGACTGTTTCAAACCCAAACCAACACTTCAAGTCGAGTTATGGGTTCGAAGAATTGATCAGATTGTACATCGATCCTCCCTGTGGGAAATTGGTACGTGATGGGATGACTGAGCAAGTTGATGTGGGGCTTCCAAGTCAGATCCTGTATTGATTTTTTCTTTTCAATTTTTTCTTAATAGGACGAGAAAAAATTTATCAGAGGGTCGATCAGTGTTTTGATCAACTTGACATTACTCAATGGCTATGAAGATGCGAACGTTGATTTGGAAGATGATACTTACCAATCGGTAAACGAGCTTGAGATCATCAAGAGTTTCAAGAGCGTTCTGGACCAAGTAGGCTTTAATTATGTTGATGATCATTGTGACGAAGAGAAGGGTCACGAGGGAACTGGCGAAGTGACGGGCTTGGATGTGGGACATGAGAATGGAAAACTGGCAACGAAGAACGAGATTATCAAGAGTTTCTTGGCCGACCTGAAACTCCATTCCGGTGCCACCTCGGCGTCTTCCTCTCTGTCCGTCCAGGATCAATCAATCAGCTCTTCTCTGCCCACCGATCGCCAGTCAAATACTGTTGACCATCTGACAATCTTGGCCGCTTGTTGGAATCGGTTGAGAGTCGAACTCATTTAACATCTCAGCTAACCTCTTGTATGTTTAAACTATCCATCCTCCTCTTTGAGCTTTGGCTGTAAACTGGGACTAGTTTTGTACTTTCTTTAAGTATCACCTTTCAAGTTTCTTTGAAGGGGGGATGCAGTCCCACGAAGCTGATATTTTGTAGATCACTGTTGTATGTCCATAAATACATGTTGTGATGTGTGTCACTAGACGCATACATATTTATTTAGAGAAATAACGCCTGCTTGGTGGTTCGGTTTTGTTAGAATATGCGAAATCAGCTGTTAATTACCCGATCCCTCTGCGGATGAGCATTAAGAGCACACAGGTTGGCGGTCCAGTCATACCAAATTGTGACCCTCCAGCTGTGATCTAGCTTAACACAATCCCTTAAATAAACCCACCACCACCATATCATGTTTGGATTGTATTCATGTTGGGCAACAGTCACCATCAACCTCATACATAGAATCAGAGACCGATCTCGGCTCCATTTCGTGACCGGGTGGTCTCTTGAGACTTTACTCTGAGTGACTTTCCAGGGCAACCTGGACCATGGTGTTGTCGTTCGTGGCGTACTCTCTGGCTCCGGCTTGGTATCATTTAACTCAGGCAACTCTTGTGCTGATGTCTTGCAAGATTTGGGAGAGTCTTCCATGAGATGAAAATGGGCTATAAATGGCCACCCCTCAACAATTTCCCAACGCTCATCATCGGCTTGAACAAGTCACCTCCACAGGCGGCTCATCAGAGCTTTGGATTCCGGTATTTTTCACAATTGATCAGTAAGCTTGGTGTGCCAGAAAATCAGCCATCGATTCAATTTCGGTACAAGCATCGAACTTAAGAATTGCATCCAGCTGCGCCAGTGAAATTAAGGCTTGTTTCGTATCGCCTTCCTAGTAGAATCAAGCATTTTCTCCAAAGACTGTGTTGTTCGAACAGGTTGACGTGCACGTCATGGCAAGTTGATTGGAACCCAGAGCCATCAGTCGCATTCTGTGATCTTTGGTCATGTTTCACTTCCAGCTCTGTCTCAGTAGTAATTTTATTTTATCATATCGGAGGGTCTTCTCGCAGTTATAAATCAACGTTAAATTATGATATCACTCACTTTGGATTTTGCTTTACATATTTCTCTGGTTGCTCCAAAAATTCACTATAAAAAAAAGGACCTTTCCCAGTTGCTTGATCATTTCTGAGATGACCAATCCAAATCTCAAAGTTGTAGTTTTATGGAAATTAATTGCAAGAGATTAATTATTTTGTTTAAAAAAAAAGTAAGACACATTTCATCCACAACCGACAGCTATTTAATCCAAACACAAGGGCCAATAAATAAGGAAAAATCTAAGCAAGAAGAGACACTATCCCAGCCAAAAGGAGGGAGAATCCAGGGGTAAGGACCGAGCCTGAGAGCTCCGAAGCTGAAGACTGTTTGAATTTTAGTTTGTAAAGAGACAATCAGTATACACAAGTGATGGAAGCAAGTGGGATCGAATGAGAGGGGGTGTTGAACATACTCTGTCACCAGTACCCTGGTCATCTCCCTTCTTCTTTCCGCCATCAGGAGGAGGTCGAGATCCATCGGGCTTCTTAGGTCCCGGCTTTTTGTTAGCTGGGTCGTCCTTCGCCGGAGAAGGTGGGTTCGTCTCCGGATTCGGTGGAGGTGGGCCGTCTGGACCGACGTTCTTTCCGGGTGGACCGGCCTCCTTTCCGGGTGGACCGGCCTCCTTTCCAGGTGGACCAGCATCCTTTCCGGGTGGACCAGCATCCTTTCCAGGTGGACCAGCATCCTTTCCGGGTGGACCAGCATCCTTTCCGGGTCCACCTGCATTCTTCCCGGGTCCGCCGGCATTCTTTCCAGGTCCACCAGCATTCTTTCCAGGGGGACCGGCGTTCTTACCCGGGGGTCCTGGGGCGTCCGGAGGGGGCGGTAAGCCAGCGTTTTTGCCAGGAGTCATTGGTCCAGGTGGGGGAGGAGCCCCGGGGCCTGGGGCTGGTTCTGGTGCCTGGGGGTCAAGAGAAGGTGGTGGCCCAGCATCCATTCCTGGACCGTCCGGGTTGGCGCCTGGTGGACCGTCAGGCTTGGCATCTGGGGCACGCGGTGGACCCGCAGGCTTCGCATCCTTACCCGGCTTCTTTTTTGCTCCTGGTTGTCCAGGTTCGGCACCTGGTGGGGACGGAGGCTTGTCATCTTCGGCTGGGGGTGGAGCTGGGCTATCGAGAGGAGGTGGTGGCGCTGCGGTGTTAGCCGGAGGGTGTGGGTGGGCCGCTAAAGAGTTGGAGAGTGAGCCCTGTATACTCCAGCATTCAAAAAGCACCTCTTAGTCAGTAATTTGTCTAACCGACAAGCTCGGTGGAGTAGACTTGAATATATAATTCACCTCTTCTGATTCCGCTTGAGGTACAGGTTGCGGTCGAGAAATTGCCCCTCCAACTATTGAGAGAAGGCATGCAAGCCTGACAAAATTGGATGAAAGCATGCTGATAGATCGAATGAGTTCCTTGCCTCAAAGCTTGATATAATGTGATGATTGCTTCTGTTGCTGGTGTATAGATAGGAGGATTGTTTTGATGAATGAGGATTCTGTTCCAAAGACGATGTCTATTTATAGGCGAAATCGAAGCCAGCACCGGCCCAAGGCAGATGATAGACTGCCAACCTACCGGCTGGTGGGGAAGAGTGCAGCACCGAGACGATGTCCTGCTCCAGCAGTTTGAGATGAAAGTTGTCCTACTGTTGGTAACGCTTACTGATTAATTTGGGGCATCTCATCATATCTCTTACAACTTTGGGATGCAAAGACGGATCCATACTTGGTCGGTTGCAGCAACTGGAGCTTCCCATCGCCAAAGCCATGAGAGAAATCATTTTAGCGAGGAGAGATGTACATTCTTCATTGAACTGATCCCCATCGTTTGACCAATCGTAGCTCTCATTCCCTAAGCTTGCGGAAAGGATGTACCTTTTCAGTGCCACTTACCGACGTATTTAGCGGTCCCGGGGTGAGTGAGTGATTCGATGAGAAGATGCCGACAGTCTTTTCTCTTCGACGTACTTACCGAGCCACCGCAACCCGTTTGTATGGTTCCCGCCAAGGCAGCAGTGGGACCCTCGAGTAAATTAAGTCTGGATTGGGCAAGCCATGCAGGTCCTTCACTCCACTTATCGAGCATATGATGAGGATTCACATGAGGCTCGCCGACCCGGTAGAGGTAACTCACTGTTGACCGTTTCCATGATGATTTCCAATCTCTAGATTCAGTTCGCCGGGCCCATTTGCCCGTTCAAGATCAATTGTGGGCCATCAAGTTCCAGGAAACAACCGATTGCGAATGAAGGAAGGGGGAGACTACAACCCACTTTACAACGGTCGCGTCATGCCTAATCAACGCAGTCTGGCTGTACGTAGTTTTTGACTCAAATAGATGGTCTTTCGTACTTCTCATGACCATTTCAAGTTACACCTTGGGATGAATATTCAAGTCAATGCAGGCTACGATTGACCACTCTTATTAAAGGGGCGGCAATTTACCATACTTGGTTGATTTCCTAAAAATACACTTTTTGCACAACAGAACGGTAGGCAATCTCGGCGGGTGCCCAACACCGGCTTTTGTACCCTACAGAGCGTGTGCTGATCTTAACTCAATACATTTTCACATCGGCAGTCAACCTCAGAGCCCCCCATACAAAAATGGACAAACACCGGGCTAGCTCAGCCATCTTGCTTAACATGTGGGGTATCTGCCTGGCAACTGGTAACATTGGCGAAGCAGCAGGTTGTCCCTTGACGACCAGCACAATTACTCACATGTGGTTAGACATAAAGTTTGCGCTGGGTGAGGAATAACATAACGGTAAATCAGGGCTATATCGCTTAAGAGTTGAAGTGAAAGTTTCATGGCACGAATGGTAGCGGGAGCTTCTTAGTGCGGGCGGGAATGGGCAGCTAGCGCAACGAGTCTGTGGAGCGACTCAATCCCACTGAGGGATCAATGCTCCAAGGGACGAGTGAAAGGGCAGGAGAGTCCTTTGAGTTATCAAGCCGACATTATAAAATTGCAGGATAGTGACTACTCTCGTTGAGCACCAGCCATTCCGACTACAGGCTTTCCCCTTCGGTCGCCACCAGGTCGTCGATCGGTGAAGATCTGGGCCGAGGTGGCTGCAACGTTGACCGGAATCTTGTCAAAGCCGAGAGCTCGGAGCATGTCCTGGAGATTTGGGAAACAAAATAATCAGAATATGTCCGGCGGGTTCAAAAGAGGGTCTCGTTGTCAATGTTCAAGCACCAACCTTGGTCTCGGGGTCCACATCCAAGGCGGTGCCGGTGGTGTCGAGGGCAGAGACTTCAGGAACGTAGTTGTCCTTACGCTCTCGCTCTTCCTCTTGGAGTTTGAAGGAAATACCACGGACAGGACCTCGTTGGATACGCTTCATCAAGTGGGTGGTGAAACCAGCGATCTTGTTGCGTAGGCGTTTTGATGGAATGATGGCCACCTCGTCACATCTGCCACATGATTTCAAAGTACAAAATTAATGATTGTCACGGACATGGGGTCGTTCAGGACTGAAGAAGGATATCACTTACACTCGCTTGTTAACGTGGAAATCAGTTACAAGACGGGGGTAGTACTTCTCGATGATAACTCGAGAGGCCCTCTTGACGGTCTTGGTGCGCACTCGACCCTAGAAACAAAGAAGAGCCCAGAGGAATGGCGATTGCAATTTCAACAAAGTGTACAAAGAGGTGGCCAGTCGTTGCGGGACAGGACAGCTGATTATATCGGGTGCTGGCTGCTGAGATTCCTCTTGAAGATCGAGAAACATCCAGGCGAGGTACAATCGGGGAGGGGGATTGATGCAGGGATTCGATCCTCACCATTTTTAAATGTTCCTTACCGAGTTTGACGGGTGGTTCGACTGTTTCGTTGCTTGATGGATGGGGACGGTCAGGCTATACCGGGCGAGCTTGCGAGCACTGGTTTCCTCGAGCCGGCGGGGGGCTTAACAGTGGCCGACCCAGGTTGGCGGGGTGCCGGAAACCTAACTTCACCCTGCGCAGTCTCTCATGTTGCGCAGCGTTAGTATCGCTCCGTCGAACTTCTAGTGTCGAGACTCACCGCAACCGCTGCCCGGCTCAAGCTCACCGACCCACCATCCCGACATACAACCGACACGACCCGGCCCAAGGACGAGGCAAAGGTGCATGCTCCCCTCATTGCACACGCCCTTTGCTCCAGCATGGCCTCCACTAATCATGACTTCCATCCACCCGTTCTGCTTTTGAAAGACCGACGAGGAATATTTGTAGTTCAAGCTCACTCGAATTCAAGTCAAGATGCGTGTGTCGGTTCTGGTGAGTCTGCTAGAATTGTTTCCCCTATCTTGCTGAACTCGCCTTGGCTGACTACCCATTTGCCTCTCTACCCAGAACGATTGCCTAAACAACATCCTCAACGCTGAAAGGCGAGGAAAGCGCCAGGTCCTTATCCGACCCAGCTCAAAAGTTATCATCCGCTTCTTGACTGTCATGCAAAAACATGGTTAGTTACTCTCATTTTTTATGTTGAAATGGGATCTTTGATCGGTTGCTCATCACCTCATTTTCCAATTTAGGCTACATTGATGAATTCGAATACATCGATGACCACCGATCTGGAAAGATCGTCGTCCAACTGAATGGTCGTATCAACAAGTGCGGTGTCGTTTCCCCCCGATTCAACGTCCCTCTCGACCAAATCGAAAACTGGGTCGACCGACTCATGCCTGCCCGTTCCTTCGGAATCATCATCCTGGTATGCCATCATCCTCATTACCCTTGTTTCTTGCTCCACCAAATACCCATCTGGTTCTTCACTGCTTGCACCTCTAGACGACCTCGGCCGGTATCATGGACCACGAAGAGGCCCGTCGGAAGCACGTCGCTGGCAAGATCCTTGGATACGTCTTTTAGATTACCGGAGCTCTCCCAGACTACCACTCCATGCTTGCACATTCGACATCCCGTAAAAGGTTCTCCCCAACCAGCAAGTTGACTGTTGTGTAATATTGCCCAAAGCAATGACTTGAAACTATTTACGCACAGCGACCCATTTTATCTGCCGCCAGTTCATCAGGATGGCGATAAGATCAGCTTTGAGAGATACATCAATAGTGAAGACCATCAACTGAGTTAACCCACAAACGTGCAATGAGCCTCAATGTCATCTCAATTCATGCAGTTTGACACCGAGGTCCTCTGGCAAATATACCCTCAGTGGTTCTTCTGGGAAGGTGATTGACTCACCAGATGCAGACCACCGTGCCAAGTTTCTGGGTAGTCTTGTGCACAAGTGCTGCAGTCCTCCTGAGGCATGATAAAAATCATTCTTCAATTGCTAGACCCTACTAGTATTAAAATAAAATGCTATCTGACTTGACTATAAGATAAAAATTTCTAAGTCATGACTCACAAGTATAGATTTGTACACCATGGGGCGGGTTTTTAGAAAAACCCCCCAGCAAACGGATGGATTCCGTCCCGAGCGCGCGCAACTTGGTTGCGAAGCATCCAACGGACGCTCGGGCTCGCCTGGCATCATTTGGACGCTTCAGAAAGCGTCCAAGGGATGCTCGGCAGGCGAGACCATCCAGAGGATGGTGTACAGCCCGGTGTCCATCGGACACTTGATTGGGAGTGTCCGATGGACAACAAGAAAACCATCAATCGGACACTTCTCAGAGTGTCCGATTGATGGTTTTCACCCGGGTCCGGCAGTCGAAAAAAAAGGGTCAATGGTTGAAAAATGTTCTCAAAAGGTGGTCGATGGTCGAAAAACGATCCAAAAATGCAACGAGGGGTGTATAGTTGACTTTCTGACCTCAACATATCAAAAATCCTGTATAGTCGAGTGGTATAGTGCTACATCAGTCAAGTAACTGGTGGCAGTCCATGAGGTCATGGGTTTGAGCCTGGGGCCTGATACTTTTTGGCCCCAAGGGCTTCTAATCCTACCATCCGATGGATGGTTTGGCCCTGCCATCCGGATTCAGCAATATGCAAGTCGCATCCAATGGATGCTCGTTGCAGGGCCAAGCGCGGATGGCATTTGGTACATCCGATTGGGTGTCCAAATGCCATCCACCACGCCCGGTGGTGTAGGCACCTGTGGCCAACCCTAACCCCCGCCCTCTAGGCAAGCCCCCCGGACTCTCTCATTCACCGTAGACCACCCCTATCAGCGCAAAACTTGTGAGCTCTGAGATCTCCGGATTTCTCAGATCTCTGGCCGTCTGAGGGGTTCGGAGAAATCCTAAGTCCCACCTTGTCAGCGGAGGGTCACCCCTTACACTACACACCCTTACACAAGGCTCCCGTTACACAACGCTCGCTCCCCACTACACCCTTACAACACACCCTCACCCCGCCCATTACACGTTACACAACACACTCGTCAATCGACCCTTTTCATCGTACGAGTCGACCGCCTCCGTTTAACAAAATCTTGCGAACCCGACCGCCTCCGTTTAACAAAATCCTGCGAACCGATCTAATAATCGCCATCAAACTCGCTTGACGGCTTAATCTTTGCATGTCCACATATCGGTAATCATCTCATCAATAAAGTTCTTTTTATCCTGTTTTTTGAGCATCAATAATCGATCCAATTCGTAGCTGACATACTTCCTTCCGGACTCTTTGACTAGCTAGCAGAATCGATATTATTTACTTATAGAACAATTCCGATTCCAGCGCGTCGTACTTATATATAGGCCCAAACTCATCTCAGCGTACCCAGATTCGTATCATGGCGAGGTTTAGGATGAAGCCACCGAAGGAATCCCGAACACAGCGGCTCTTTAGACAACTCAATGCCGCACAGGACGCAGCGGCTCTTCGCACCCTGGAAGATTCGATGGCGCGAGCTCGCCGACAAGCCGAAATGGCTGAAACTCACGCCGGCGAATCTTTCCTTGAGCATCGCGATGATACCTTCGAGTTGCCTGAAGAAGTCAGCGATCAATTGCCAGGCCTTGAAGATGATGAGAATGATGATGGGGACGATGACTGCGGGGCCTGGGTTACGTTGACTGAAGAAGAACCCGATGCAATAGACTTAATGGTTCAAGCCAGTAATGAAAGACATCGTCAGCGCGCTCGAGAATTCAACTGGAATGCACTGCTTGACAGCCTCCACCCCATTTACATGATTCAAAAGGCCATCACCAAGAATTGGGCCGGGTCAAATGCCTATGACGATTTTGCTAAACCTTGTAACTGTGCACAATCAAACAGTCTTCGAACAGTAGACCTTGTAGATATCTATGGTATGATCAATTTATTTTGCAATCCAATCACATAATTATTTTTCACCAGGTGAACTGAAATAAATCAACCCAGCCCAGCGTCGAGTTGGCATAAACTTCTGTAGCTGCACACCTGATGCTATACGGCTGCTTCAGCTTGGTTATCTGGCTGGCTCGCCCATACATCCTCAGACAGCCTTTTCCTTGCCCCTCCTCATTTTCCACAACCATCTGTGGAACAACTGTCATGTAGGTGCTTTGCCTTTCACTGTGGCCATGACTCAATTCCTGGAGCCTCGATCCCAGCGACTCCATGCTAGAAATCACCAACATGTAAGTGTCCCATGTTTGTTTTTTGTTTTAAATTCCTCCTTTTGCCAATTACATTATTAACATTCTTGTTTGTGACCACAGGCCCGCGACTTGCGCAAGCCCTTTACCGCCGCAGTGGACCTGTTCTGACGACTAGAAGAGGCATCTGACAAGGTAGTTCACTCAGTCATCCAGTTAACCGATCAGAAAATCCTAGCATCCCTCTCTTGTCCAGCATGCTTTGGACCTCAACCCCTCAGCACTTCGATGTATCCAGAAACAACCCGTGACCGATTGGTGGTCTGTCTTGACGGAAATTTTCAGCATCGCCACCACTCGAAAGCAAGTCAAAATCATGAACAGCTCTGTACCCCCAAAATCTTTCTTGGACAAGCTGAGGTTGATCAAGCTACTTGCTTGATTAGGGAAAGAGAAATGAAAGACAATACCCCTGAACAGGTCAGACAATTATTTCTACACCTTTGGTATGCTGTATTTAATCATGTAGCGCTGATGATACCTCCTGCTTTGTATTTCTCATGTTTAATGTTCAATGTTCAGGTTGACCAATGTACCCAGTCACATAAAGCCGCAGATGATAAGCGAAACGAGTCAACTTGGAAGGGCTGCGATGACACGGGGTTGATGGGTTGCTGCTGCCGACATGACGCAGCAATTTACCTTGCTAACATCCACAAGTCTGGGGAGCAAAGATGCTTCCCACTTGCAATTCTTCAGCGATTGCTGTCTGTTATTGAACCTACTCGGCAAGTTGGTGTGCTTTACGACATTGGATGCTCCTTGGACAAATTTATCAACCTGGTATGTGATTTAGTTGTGAGTTTTCAGCATGAATGTTGATGTTGACCAGCCTCTTTGCATCAGAGGAAACTTCTTGAAAAAGACCGACCTCGACTCAAGTTTGGCACATCAGTGTTCCATGCGTATGTACATAACTGGAATTGTCAGTTGGATTACCATCCCCGCTTCAACAAAGGATGGGGACTGTCTGATGGGGAGGGCTTAGAGCGCATGTGGTCATACCTTTCCCCTTTGGTCAGTCCCTTACGATACGCTACTCGGAACCACCGCTTGGCTTCTATTGCTCACCAACTGGCACATCACAATAGGAAGGGGATCAAACAACTGTGTAAGTCATTTGTATTGGTTCTAGTCACATTGTCAATATCATTCTAAATGGTCCATCATAAACAGCTCATTGGATTTGACGCAAATTCAACATGGCTGTCCAACGCCGCCGAGAGACTCGCTCGACACTAGCAACTTTGCTTGGGAAAAGGAACCCCCACAGTCCTAACAATCGTAACTACACAAGGGCCTTTTTTTTACGCCAATGGTCTGCACAACGTTCATTTCAAGAGGATCATACCGATGTGGAAGAGGCGCGAATGAAGAAGTTGGTTGCTTTGTATGAGCGAGAAAATGTAATAGATTTGTTGAGGTGAGTTTATCCACATTCTAAGTTTGGTAGTAGCTTTTTTGAGTTACTTATGAATTTCAATTTGTTTCAGATGTTGTTTACGAAACCCCAGAACTTTGCTTGCCTCAGAGTCAGAGGTACGAGAGCTTCTGGATTCAATCAAGTTAGAATCTGAGAAGCTAAAAGAAGAAGTTGAGAATCTGTCCAGTGGTGATATGCCTGCTGGGAATGGTGAGTTTGGTATATCACATATTGCAATGACATGGATTTACTGACATTTTCCTGAGGTCTAGTGGAAGAAAGGAAGATGCGCCTCCTTCTTTGGAGTGCAAAATCCGAGTTGTTTGTTCAAGCTGTTCATCTGATGGCTGAAAGGCAGCCTCTTTGTGACGCAAAGAATACTAGATCACGGTTGGGAACAAGGTTGAAAGAGAAAGTGTTCAAGGCCATTAATAATCGGCGACCTGCGATTGACAAGTTGATTGATGAATATAATAAGAAATATTCCCAATACAAGCTCAAGTTTCCCGATTGCGCTGGCTCAACAGTTGGTGACAACGGTCTCCTGTCATACGAAACACTCAGTAGCTTATCACTTGATGATGCTTTCTGGAATGATGGCCTGTTTCACCATTCTGATGCACCGTGGGCGATCGATCCGAATGTGCGAGAGGGGATAAGGTGCATGCTTGTTTTAGACAGAATTCAAGAAGAGTTCGAGCTCATTTCCCAAGAAGTTGTGCGGTCAATGTCCTGGGCTATTGGTTTACATGACCAATTGGTCAAGTATATTGGTTATCTGCAAGACCGTATGTGTTTCCATTTTTTCCTCTTGTGTTTGCCCAGCACCCACCTCATTAATCTTAGGTTTTTTTCTTCCATGTCTGCTCTGGTATTTGTTCCAGGTATCAATCTCATGAGTAATAACTCCTCTGAGCGGCCCATCGACCATTTTGATGCAATTCACTTGCCTGGGTTGAATCGGAAAGAGAAGGCAAATGAAATCAAGATTGAATTGGGCAATCGACTTGCATCTCACACGAACTGTAGAAGAATGGTCTGAAAATTGAATGTGGCTATGGGATCACTGTCAGCCGGTTGAAAATCCAATCTTTCCTAAACACGTGGAAAGCACTGTTGCAAGATGTCAGAAAAGAAGGCTATGCAAATTCAATCAACTCAGTTGACATTGATGAAACGTTGGAAAGACGATATTTTGCACAAAGTGGCAGACGACGGTGAGGATGCCAATGATGTGCCTCAATCCTATTTTTAACTTGATGTCCTCCACTTTTATATCAATTGTTAGTGTTTGTTTTTATTGGTACAATGATGGTGTGTTATGTGCAGGTTGTGTTGTGTTTGGTTTAGTGGTCCAATCTAAATGAATCCAATATTGCACATAAATTTCCACACTCTTTAGGCATCTTCAAAATATATTTGGGACAATTTTTGAGATTAAGGATACTATTTAAGAAAACATGGACAAATTTCTGGATATCATGAATGGATGTGTAGTATTGTATGTGAAAGAACTGAAAATTTGCTTAAATTTCATGATAAAGCTCAAGAAACTTTCCAGAAAACTGACAATCCATGACTTGGATTCAAGAAAAGGTGAGTGAAAGTGCAAGATCACTGGTGCTGACTGAAAAATGTAATTTGTTATGAATTTATGGCAGCCAAATGTTGTGAGAGTGTGACAAAACAATAATCCATCATTTTGAATGCAGCAAAGTGATTGAGTATGTACTGGTGAACTGGTGGTCACCAGGGCCTGTGCGTTTAGAAACACATATGCCCTGGTGACCACTAGTTCACTGGGACATATTCAATCCAAATGGATGATTCAAAATGATGGATTATTGTTTCATAACACCAAAAAAACATTTGACCATCAATTGGAATCATCACTTTTGCTTGAGTATGTCCTGGTGAACTGATGGCCATTCTAATGTGTGTGCACTTAGAAACACATGTGTCTTGGTGACCACTAGTTCACTGGCACATATTCAATCATTATCATTCATTGAAAGTGTCAGATTATTGTTTCATAACACCAAAAAAACATTTGACCATCATTTTGAATCATCACTTTTGCTTGAGTATGTCCTGGTGGACTTGTGGTCATTCTATAGAAACACAAGTGTCTTGGTGACCACTAGTTCACTGGCACATATTCAATCATTATGAGAAAGTGTCAGATTATTGTTTCATAACACCAAAAAAACATTTGACCATCAATTGGAATCATCAATTTTGCTTAAGTATGTCCTGGTGAACTGGTGGTCATTCTAATGAGGGTGCACTTAGAAACAAATTTGTCTTGGTGATCATTAGCTCATTGGCACATATTCAATCATTTTCATTCATTCAAAGTTTTTTTTGGTGTTTCATAACACCAAAAAAACATTTGACCATCATTTTGATTCATCACTTTTGCTTGAGTATGTCCTGGTGGAGTAGTGGTCATTGTGAATATGTGGGTTTTGACTCTTGAGTGCATAATTTTCCTTCATTCTAAGTCATGGAATATTGTTCAAAATAGTCATCCACATATGATGAATTGGGATCAATTCCGATAAATCAGTCATATTTGAATAATCCTTGGTGATGGACTGGATGACTGTCCCCTTGATACAATAAAATTTTTGTCTGGCTAGTCACCACCAGTGGCTTGATTTTCACTCAGTTTGTGACAGTAAGACTTTCATCTCAAAACAGCACATCAAAACAACTATTGTCATCACTCACAACATCAATTTTTGTTTGTTTTTAGTACTGTCCCTTTGTGTTGGAGGCATTGAAAAATATTTGATTTTGGGGGGTTTGAATGCGTGAATGCGCGCAAGAGCTTCGGAGATGAGCTTCAGATTTGTACTGCCTTTCGGTGTGTGCAAGACACGAGCAAGCAGTAAGTAACCCTCACGAGCACATCAACTTCTCATCATAGAATCAAATCAATACCAACATCAATCAGGAACCTACCAAGCTGAATCTTTTGCAAAATAATGTTCTCCAACTTTTCCCAATCCACGAACTCCCAGACCAACCTTGCTGCATATCAAGGTTTTCCCCCGCCGAACGTACAAGGTCATTCAGCCAGCTACCAAGGATATGCGCCGCCAAATGGACAACCGCCGAACGGAGTAACTCGTCGCGGCCATGAAGGCTATGCCCCGACCAACGGTGTGGAACTACTCTTTGGGATGAATAGAGCTGGAGAGGGAAAGATGCTTTAATGGGCTGCCTCTCTGGTAAACTGGGTTGAGTAAGATAACAAGAAAAAGATAAGAGTGTGGACTCTTAAGGAAAGGTGTGGCTTTGGAGAATTCTTGAGATGGGTATGTCTTCTGTCTTCTGGTCTTCTGTCTGAATAATACTAGTATCCCAAATGTTGATGGGCAACTACTAGGCTAATGAAGGGTGATCAGTGATCTGGATTGCTGGGGCAGGATCTGATGGGGAACAAATGAAGAGGGGAAAACAAGGCTCCTTATATACAAAATCTGGGGAGTGGCCAGCTTGTGGTTGGAAACACCATGGAACAAAATGGAACAAGAGAAAATTATCAAACTGAATCATGTGGCCCAATTGGTAGACACTAAGATGAATGGAGGAAATGACATCAGAGACATGCAGGGATGAAATGTGCCACAACCAATGAGGGAGGAAGAATATACCAAAGAGATGAATGAACTAGCCAAATGTGTACTAGTGTGAGACATGCAGATAACCCAAGAGGAATAGTGTGAAACAGTGAAATGTGCCCAATGAAATGAGCTAGAG